GAATTCAAAACATATATTACATGATATTTTTATTAACATATTACTCGATTTACAGAATGTAAAGCCAAGGAGACCTTGACTTTGCCAAGAAAACAAACTGTTTTAAAAATTTGCTTTACTAATATCTATTGTGCACTTCATGCCCTGCTAATATTGTCTTAAACATTTTTCGTAAGGTGGCTACAAGTGGGAGAAAAATCGTGAGTAGCTTTACAGGTAACATCCTGTATACACTTTTTAAGTCATCAATTTGTCTTAACCTCGTCAAAGACATATGTGTGAACATCTAGCTCAACCTCAATTAGGAATACTGATGCATATACGTACATTCAGTTTCTTTTTTAATTCAATATTTTGTATCAACATTCTTTAAGTACACTGATACGTTTGTGTACATTTACTGTCTTTTTTAATTCAATATTTAGCCTCGATTTCTTTAAGAGTACGAGTACATGTACATACGTGTAATTTGTTTAAATTTAACAACTGATAACTTCTTGTGTAGATACTATCTTATATTCTTGAATATTTATTAATGCTATCAGTTTAAAATAAGTAAAATATAATAACATGAAGTAGTATGTTATGGTGACCTTGAAAAAGAAAGAGTAGCATAACATAACATTCAAAACAGTTAAAAACTTATAGCAGAATTAAAATTGAGTCAGCTTACAATTTGCTTACAATTTTACAATTTAAACATAATATAATATATGTAGTGTATAATTGTTCACACCTATAAATTAAATTACTATAACCATATCATATTCCCTTATTTAATTGTACCTATAATTTAAATTAGGTATCCTTAATTAAAATTATGTTAAATTGAAAAAAATTTTAATGTAGTTTTGATGAGAGAGTCCTGATAAAAGAGTGCAAGAAGTTTTTAATATATCACAGTTTTGTCAAGTGTTAAAGCATAGTACAAACAAGAGGATGTTTTTGCAGGTGAAGACGCACTTCAGAACAGCTATCACCGTACCCGAGAAATCCTGGGCGCGTTTCCGTGACATATTCGCGGACTACTGTGAAAGAATGCGAGAAAGAGGTGCCGGTAGCAGCGTGGGGATGAACAGCGGTGGCGGTGGAAATGTCTTACCGGAGGGAAGGGGCTCGGTGGTGGCACAGGTACCATCACCATCGACCTCACAACAGCCTAACCCCAATCCAAATTTAGACTCTCCCTTAATGAAGTGAAAAAGGCTTTAACTTAACTCGAACATTGGAATTATAACCGTAACTCGTTTTCAAGTCATTAAGCGAAACTAAACAAAACAAAAAAAAGATAAGGAACTTGTCAGAGTCTATGCCATCGTCATCGCCATTTTCATCGACATCGACATCGACATCGACATCGACATCGTCATCGTCATTGTCACCGTCACACCGTCACCGTCATCGTTATCGCCACCGTCACTATCACCGTCACTCGTCGTCGTTAACTGAAAATGAAACAAATCTAAGAGATACACACACACCAACAACTCGCCTGGAACGAGGTTCTATGTTATCGCGGAGAGATCGCAACCGAATGTTGAGCGTTGATTCGTGATCGCGGAAAGATTCGTTTAGGAAAAATCAGCCGGTGACACACGCGATATCCATCATCCGTCGCGGTTCGCTCTGATCATGTCGACCACACGACGATAGAAAAATATAGGGGTTAAACGATGATGAACAGCGGGAAGGAGGATAGATGATGTGTGTGTGTGTGCGCGCGAAAAAGAAACGAGTCTGTCGCTCGCACGGCTAAACAGAGAAAAGACGCGGCGACGGAATCGTGAATTATATAGAATTATTGCGCGATGTCTATTTAGGTGGATACGAGTTGCCATCGATTAACGTTATAAGTACTACCGTTCATTTCCCTCAACCTGTTCCCGTGTCTGTCGCATGGACACGATTCTGTTCGTTTGTTTTGTCGCTTTCGAAATTCTTGTAAGACCGTCTCTCGAGCCGCTTCGTTATTTCTCTAATCAACGCATTTGGGGGGGTAGGTGGGAAGGAGGAGGAAACGTGGAAGAAAAAGAAATATATGATCGTCGATAGGAAATGAACTGTAGTGGAAATCACGTTACAATTGAATTTGATCGTTCAGAATTTATGAATAAATGAATAGTTGTTATATTAACGATTATATCGCCTGGGTGGTCGCGTCATTTAGAGAACAGAAATCCCGCTATCCACTTGTTGCCGACTTTGAACCAAAAGGTAAACGAGAGCGCGCGACGTGAAACAGTGAGTTTTAGAGATTTTCTGAATGACGCCGACGAAACGAATCTCGTTTTTTAATCACCTGTGGTACGCGAGAAATTATCAAGGTCGCGTGGACCATTCTCCGCGCGACGTCCATCGCGTTATCTCTTTTCGTCGACGGTTGAGTCGTCGGTCGTTTAGCGAACGACGAATCGCAGTCTAGATCGCGACACCGTACACACTCGTTTACAAAACTGAACGACGTCTCTATTAAATGAAAAAAAAGTAATTATGAAAATAATATATAACATATAGACAAGAGAGTATGAGAGAGTATGAGAGAGAGAGTGCGTGTGCGTGCGTGCGTGCGTGTGCGTATGAATGTAAGATAAAAAAAATTCTAGCCGAATACGAATCCCTATAATATGTATATTGTACGAAGTTAATTATGTTACGTTTTGTTTCATCGATTCGTACGAAAAATGCGCATTCAGACGCAACATACGCGTGGATGTCCAGATTATAGAGACGCAAGTACAGAGGATATAAGTACAGAGATCATGTACATACACACACATTACATCACAAATTATTGTACACACATACACATAGATACCGGTTGCATTGAACACATATACATAGACACGTTACAAGATACATACAAAGATATTCCATCACGAAAGACGAACGGTACAAGAGACGGTGTGCACGCGTACGTGGATTACGTTACGTTTGAGTGACGGCCGAGTTCTAACACAATTGCATATTAGGTATGTATTATACGAATGCATATTAGATATTTATATAGAATCTATATAACTGTATAATTGTAACAAAATGCCAATGTCCATGGACCCAGGCAACTGTGCATCGCCCGGCAACGCTGTGATCAATCGAATTGAAGGTGTTGCGGGCCTGCAGTCGCTTAGGTCCGGTCTCTTTGGACGCGGGAAGGGAGATTGAAAGATAAAAAAAGAGGTAACCACGAGACAAACAAAGAAAACAAGGAAAAAAATGAAAAGTTAAAAATGAAATGAAAAAAAAGATATATATATATATATAAATCGAATGGAAGTGAAAAGGCAAATAATAAATAATTTCAATGACGAACGACCGGATGAGTCGGAGGAGAATATAACGCGAGTCAAGTTATTTCTCAGTGGAAATGGAAAATCTTAATACGCTTTGATTCTGCAACGCTGTGCTAATATCAACAAATGATAAATGAAAATGAAAAACGATAAAAAACCAAAAAAAAAGAGAGAAGAAAGAAGATAATAAAAAATGATATTCTATCCGTTTTCTTGCGTTTCTTCGAATCGAAACGACGATTAAACCGTGAAAAAAAGAAAAAAATAATAATAAATCTAACTGTTTCGCGCTGGTGCGAAACAATCGTGTGAAGGCAGAGGGCGGAGGCGGCATAGATGCATTAAATAAAACGCATAAAGTGCTATTTAATTAAAATAAAAGAATAATAAATAAAGAAATAAAAATGGGGAACGCGTATCAACCGATTTCGTGCGCGATCGGCAACGCGTTTACGTTCGAAGAGATGAGTAAAATTTTATTTATTTTTTAGCAATGAACCTATTATCTATTTCGAATAAGAATATTTCTTTGATTGCATTTCCTTCGAGAGAAAAGAGAAAAAAATGATAAATCGACAATTTCGGCTGGTCTGAATTTACTTAGCACGTAGGTTTTTGATGATATAAATGGAAATATAAATCACAATTAACAAAATCGAGTACGCACGAAACAAGCGGGTCAATTCACCACACGAAGAATCCCGATCCTCTTCAATTTCAAATTCTCGGTAGCGTAACTAGGATCTTTGTCTGGGCGTGGATTAAGTTTATACTATTTTGGGATCTTTAATAATGACAAAAGTGACTTTTGAAAATTTCAAAATTGGATATTTAGAAATTTAGGAATATTCGGATTGGAGAATTTGAAAATTTGGACAATTTAGTAATTCAACAAATTAGAAATTTGGATTTTACAATTCGGGGTTATTGCGATTTGAAAATTGTCTAACTTTGCAAATTTAGTCGAAAATTCTGTGGTGTTGAGATTTAGAAATTTGGGATTTGAAAATTTAGAAATTTGGAAATGCTAATTGCAGATTTGGGAATTTAAGAATTAGAAAATTTAGAAATATAGTAACATAAAAATTAAAAAGTTTGTAAGTTTGATAACTCTCGAACTTGAAGATATACAGTCTCTAACCTAGTCACGTCTGAAATTAAAATTTTATCAATGACCCAACAAATTGTTTTTAATGATTGTACTCTCGTGTTCCAACACGTAGCAAATTATTATTACGAAAAAAAAGATATCTAAGATAAGTAGCTAAAAAAGAAAACGGCAACAGCATTGTTTCTTTAAATACATTTGTTTTTAAACACTTGTTCTAAATATTTGGCTGAGTTGAAGGAGGGTCGGTGAACCTGCAATCTGTGCACAAGTGTATAAAAGAAAAATAAAGAAATGAAATATTTGTCCAAACTGAGCGTTCTGATGAAAACGTCGAAGAAAAAGGCATAGAGAAAAATCGTTCTACTGGTGGGAGATGGTATGACATTGTGATCTATACAAAATTACAAATTACAAAGCATCAACAAGTAGTAGATATTTAGGATATTAAACAAAAAACAAAATACACACACGTACACCTACGGTTGAGACCCTAGACACATCGATGTCTAAACTGCAACACACATATATCCAAATACACATTATTAAAAAAATGAGGACGACGACTACAGCGTACCTAACTAGTAAAGAAAGAAGAAGAAAAATGGTGAAGAAACGGAGAGGAACAAGATGGGACAAGAATCGAAACTGAAGGAAACAGAAGAAATCGTCTGACGAGTATTTAAGAAAAAAAAAAGAATAAGGAGAAGAAAGAAGCCAGGAGGGAATCGAAGGGAGAATGCGATGAAAGATGAAGAAAACACGAGATATGCTCCTGCCACGCAGCGAGTCCTTAGACAGCTTTAAGATAATAATTATAAATGAATAAATAATAATTATTATTATTAAATAATTAACGATAAACTTTCTATATGTTGAATCGTGTCTAGTGAGAGAATTACTATTGAAGTAAAAATGCAAAACGACAAAAACAAAAAAAGAAGTAACGTCTACTATCGCCACACACACGGATTATAACAACAAATACACACACACATACACACACATACAGACACACACAGTTTATAACGACCATATTAGTTGTCTATCGAATGTTCTTATTTTTTTTTTAATTTTTTCAATATAGCGAAGAAGAAAAGCGATGGTGATTGTTAGAGAATAGCTTGGTGTTTCGTTTGCTGTTTTAAACAAAACATTTAAAAAAAAAACATTTTTGAGCGGGTCGGTGATATCGGCGAACCTTTTTTTCTTTTTTCGTCAAGGTCGGAGTACGATGGAGGGAGAACGAGAGAGAGAAAAAAAGAAAAGGTAGCTGAAAATCTACACCTACGTTTTACATTTGGTGGGGCTTTTTGACCACTACTGTTATCATTATCACTGCTATTATCACGTAGGGTTTCCATACCAGAGCCGTGTTTCGCAAGCTGTTAAATAACGCGTGTAGAACCAATGATGATATGTCCTGTTAACTAAATATACAATAATCAATCTCCCGTAGGAGAAAGAGAGAGAGAGAGCGCGTATATGTGCGTGTGTGCAAGTGCGCGCGTGTGTGTGTAATGCGTGCGTTCGTGTATGTTGTGTGCATATGACGTTTCGATTAATTAACTACACTTCCCGCTAGTGTAGCTCTGTTCGTCTATGGCGAGACGTTTAGATAATTTAACCATTTTTATCGTGCCGACGTTTTTCTCGCATTAAAATAAGATGTTTTTTTCTCCGCCGCTTGCGACAGGAGAAATTAAACGACGCCACGGTATGAAAACCCTGCG